ATCTTTCGACTTTGTGTACTGATGTTAGATATAGAACTTATTTCCAAACGTGATTTTTAGTGTTCATTTTATTCCATGGGGAAAATTTTTCATTAATTGAAACGTTAACGGGTTCATATACACTTCCATAATTGAATTGATGATAATTATAGGCTTCGTAAATTTTACGATTTGGCAATGTTGATTATTTCTATTGTTCCTATTGGTCAATCGAACGAGAAGCGGCAATATGGCTGTGACGTCACCTCCCTACCACATTCGATTTTTAATAATTAATTACGGGAAAACTACGGTACTTGGAGAGCTGAAACAAAGTGCACTGTTTTTCAATTTGAAATTTCTATCAACTATAAACCAAAAATCATGAAACAATCCCATTATTAATCAGACGGACACGAAATCTCAGAACCGCTGTTTGCCATTGTGGGGTTTACTCGTAACGCTGATCGAAAATGATATTGTCTACGTCGAAAAAAAAACGCGTTAAATTCACTTATATCACTGTCACTCATGAACAAAAATCACAATCACGTCGTGGTCATAAATATATTCACAAAGGGTCAACCACTTGGGCCCTTGTCTTAACAATGAGTACCTACTCTGCTGTATGTCTTGCTGTATTTCTTGATATTGAAGGAGCATATGACAATGAACTACCTGAATCTATAGGATTGTCTCTGGCTAGGAAGGGTATAGAACCGACCATAACTGGCTGGATCTATGCCATGCTAGTAAAGAGAACTGCAACTATGACTCTTCAAAGTGATGCCATCAGGTTCAGGGTCACCAGAGGCTGCTCCCCTTATGTGGTGGCTGCAGATGTCTGTCAACCCCAGCAAAACTGTGTTAATACCCTTCACCAAGAGGAGAAAATTGGACGATCTAACGCCACTTTCCCTCAATGGTGAGGTCATTCCATTTGGAACAGAGGTGACATATCTTGGCATTATCCTTGATAAATCTCATCTATACATATAGACATGTCGAAGAATTTGTGATGAAAGTTGGGGTTCAGGTTCCAAACAAATCCATTGTATTTATGTGATGATTGTTAGACCAGTGATTACTTATGGTGCAATTACCTGGTGGCCGAAGGCTTTACAGAAAACGGCCCAAGCTAAGCTCTCTGGCTCACAGAGACAGACTTGTCTGGCTATCAGTGGTGCCATTAGTACCACACCGTCAGCGGCCACGGAGATCCTTCTAGATCTTCCTCCTCTCCACATCTTTCTGGAGAGAGAGGCTAGATGGACTGCATACAGACTTGTGCACATTGCCAATTGCACAAATCAATACAATGCAGAGTGCAACAGACTGTTGGTTGACACTGGAAGTCACAGCATTCTGGAAATGACCTCTGACTATATGCCTCCAACTGTCAACTACGAACTGCCTCATAAAGTACTATTCCCGAGTAGAGAGGACTGGATCCTCCGGGAGAAGGAAATATTAAGAGCAGATAGTTGTCGGTTCGCAGATGGATCAAAAACAGCTTCCGGTTCTGGTGCAGGTGTTTTCAGTCGCAGACCCAGGATAGAGATATCTACCTGCTCAAGAACTTCTGCGACTGTATTTCAAGCGGAAATTTACGCTATTGAATTGTGTGCGGAGAGATTGGATGAATCCAACCTCACACCTAAGTCAATAAAAATATTCTCGGACAGTCAAGCGGCGTTGGTAGCTCTTGGCTCCTACCCAGCAACGTCTGAATTGGTAGCAAATAAACGACTAAAAACGACTCTCCCCGATAGGAAGACTTAACAGATTGTGTCTGGTCTGGATTCCTGGCCATACTGGCCTGGAAAGCAATGAAGCTGATGACTCGCTTGCAAAGGAAGGTGCTGCAAGCAGCTTCATCGGACCAGAACCTGTCATTGGCATCGCTTTAGGTTTTGCCAAACAAACTTTGAACACCTGGATGTCAAGAAGATTTATGGACTTTTGGCAGAATCTTCCAGGATTGACTGGGATTGAAATCTCTCAATTTAGAAAGTAAGAACATTTATGAATTGGAGTCAAACAACAACAAATTATTATATCAACAGGATATTTTTATTAATCACGAAACTACGATTATATTGGAATATTTTGTGAAGGTATTAACAAAAGTAATCATTCAAACATCAACATTTGAAAACTCTTTGACGTTTCATGAACCCTAATCCAATTCATGAATTGAGCGTTAGTGTGCTGAAAACAGGATGGTCGTCATAAAACATAAAATTAACTCAAACCCATCAATGGGGATGATTACGGGAAACTCATCCGGCAGAGTGCGCTGAGTGTTTGTCACATTGGTCATTAGTTGTCAGTTTCCACCGTTATTTATTGATTTATTTGAAAGTTTCTATATGGCGTATCGCTCAGTTGAAGGAGGAGTTGCAGAGGAGAGGTGCAACCCTAGGAGGAAAGAAAGCTGATCTAGTGGAAAGGTTCATAATTTTGCATATTTGAACAACTCTCTCATTATAAAGACAGTTTTTTGCATCCAATTTGCTCCCAAGAAATATATTAATGAAAAAAACCCACATATTTTGTATTTTTTTCACTAATAATCATTATTCTAACCTCAAAAACATGCAAGTTTCAAGGTTCAATTTTGTTTTCAGACTAGAGGCTTATGATAGACATTTTAATTTCGAGAATATCTCTCAAGAGAGACCTGTATAATAAAGAACAGATTTTTTGTTCATTAGAAATTCATCATTGCAAAATATTCTGAATAAAGTTGTTGTTTGTGTGGACTGGCTGATTAGGTGGCTTTCCTAATCAGGATTATCTTCCTCGGGGTGGAAAGTAACTTCTGAGGCAATTTCTTGTTGGAGGTCTAGATAATTTATATCTGAAAATCAAATGAAATATAGTGGTGGTTGAGAAGTCAATATAATAAATTTATTCATTGGATACTTACCATTGAGAGGAAGCTGGTTATCTTTATCTTCGAAAATTTCAGATGATTCACTACTAACTGGCTTCAAATCACGTTTACCATTCCTTTTTTCTAATCTCAACATTCGTGGACTGATAGAATTCGAAGTACAGCGAAATATGGAAGGTACAGCTGATTTTTCAAAAAATTTCCTTTGGAGTGAAAATCCTATAAAATTTTTTAGCGCCCTCTATGTACAACAAATTGACAGTTTGCTTCCCCATTTATTACATTATACCATTTATACGATATTGAAGCTTGTACCTAGATTCACCTGTGTAAATAAATATAATACAATATGTGATTAAAAAAATAGTGTAATGTGATGAATTGAATGAGTTTCATTATTGTACATAAAGCAAGTAGACATACTTAAAGACTGGTTATAAATCAAATTATCTACAAGAACAATTCGTTCAGGCCAGTCTCAAATTCCCTACACTGTAGGTTAATGGACTAACATCTATCATAAAACAACTACTCCCCTGGCTAATACCGCGAAGGGCGTTGGATTATATCCGACAGGTGTCAGTGCAGAATTTTTCACTGAAGTTATTCCTGCATATGCTGTTGGCGATACAACTGCCGGAATCGATTTTCAATTATTGGAACATACTTGCAGACCGGTTTCAGACTGTTTGGCCACTCGTCAGTGCATCAGTGCAGAGTAGTGTCTATCATCAACATATAGTCGATAATTTCCCATAATTGAAAATTGAATTCTTTCATTCCTCGAACTAGGCTGGAACGAACGACAAACAACATGTTTGTCATCGTCCCATAGCATATCTAAATTTGCCCAAATTTCTCGTATGAAAAAACTGTACATAAAGAAAGTGGGCATACTTGAAGACTGGCTATAAATCAGATTATCAATGATAAAAATAATTGAAAAACGATTCCAGCAGTTGTATCGCCAACAGCATATGCAGGAATAACTTCAGTGAAGAATCCTGCACTGAGACCTGTGGAATATAATCCAATGCCCTTCGTGGTATTAGCCAGTGGAGTAGTTTTTTTCTGATAGGTGTCAGTCCATTAACCTAGAGCGTAGGTAAGTTGAGACTGGCCTGAACGAATTGTTCTTGTAGATAATTTGAGTTTTATTTCATTCACTTTCTTCTTTAGAGGGAATGTTAACAAAAACTTGTTTTCAAAAATATTTTTCACTTAAACTTCACAGTATATCATTTGATATACTGATAAATCGGGCTCGTGTTAATTATAAATTGGTATGAAACAAACTCATTGATAAGAGTGAAAAACACGTTTTCTTTGTGAAATTCATTTTGGAAATACCAAATTTTATTTTATACAACACAAGCACACAAACTCGAATTTCAAGTTTTTGACAATTTCCATAAATGTAATGTGTCTGACAGAAAAATGTCACTATTATTATTATTATTGACCCACAAACAAGGAATATATTGACTTGGGAAGAGCCAAGTTTCTTCGAGTTATCATAATAGTTTTCCAATTCTCTGGCAGTGAAAAGTAGAACGGGAACTTTGAGCGTAGACTACATACAAAACAAAAACAACACGCTGAGGCGTGTTGAGTGATATTAAACTTATCTGGTCTCCAAAATCGATATGTGCAACGTCTTTTTTGAAACAAGTTTCAATAGCTCTTCTAGTCTGATACTTTGTTAGTCATCATAGCTTATTTCATATATCCCTGACCTCTATTTTCCATCATTTTTTAGTTATGTTTATTGAAGTGAACAAGCAGTTTTGCAAGCTCTTCGAAAATTCGATTTCTTCCGTTATTGTATCTTCGTTCATTCGGAATATCGATGAATTTTGATTAGGTATCTTTTTGTAAAGTTGGAGATTTATAACAATGCTGTTTCAGTTTGCGTTTTCCAATAAACTTGTTTATTATGTTTACGAATACCTATTGCTTTCAACTATGTCTCTTATAATTTCTTATCTTTGTTTTCTTATGTGAAGCATACTGAGCCTATGGACAGGAAGGTGTTTTACCAGTTCTTTGTTGTGGATCATGGTGAGAGTTGTCAAGAATACTCGTATATCTAAAAGTGCTTGTATTTTTTCTGTACCTTGGATTTCTTAGTGTCAATAATCACTAATACAGCAGTTAGACATCTAATCCAATTCCATGGAAAATAACCTAACTCCTATTTTGCTTTTGGTTCAAATATGCATTGGGTTTCTCTTCATGCTGATTTGTGTTAGTTTTATTTTTCTTTCATTGATTCAACACTTGAGCTATTGACCCCAAGAATATCTTTCAAATACTCAATTATTTTTCAATACACAGAGTCTTTTATTAAGCACTTCTTATCTTCAATATTGAATGAAACAAAGTGTGTGTGAGATATCATCCAAATGTTTTATTCGTTTGAGAGACCTATTGATGCCATTAGGTGTGGAATATAACATCGTGCAAATGTCTGCCACGGCTTCTCTTGGTAGGGCGTATCCGACACGTTCAATTTTCTGAGATGCTGGTGCATAAACCAGGTTGAATTTGATTGATGGCGTGAGTTATATTAGCTTTGAGAACCGCTGTGGTTTGTGGCGTATTTACATACACCTGCGACTTAAGAAAACCCCACAAGAAAAATTATAAGGGGGTTAAACCGCAAAATCTTGGTGATCAGTTCACATCACCTTGGTGTCCAGATCATCCAACTCAGTCCAAAATAAGTTGGTGATGATCGACCTATAGTTCGTATCGTGGATAGTGACGTATGGATCGATGACTCCGCTAGCCTATTTGTATTTGTATCTGTAGAGTAGGGTAGGTGAGTGTAGGCCCACAGCACTAAGGCCACGTGTGACCCATTGTACATCCTCCCGAGGAGTTGTCTTCCTAGGTCATCGTCCATCCTGTCCTTTCCAGGAAGGTGGACAGGAGACATCTCTTTATATCGATAGGTGTAGGCTAAGACTCGCCGAACACACACTCATTTATTGACGATAACTCCGGACGCTCGCATAGGACATACCTGATAGTTTCATCTTCCTTGTTCAGACATCCTGCATAGAGGTGTGTCCACTAGCCCCATATTATGGAGGTGTTTCCTTAGTTGACAGAGGCCAGTTAAACATCCTACTGTTGAGCCTAGATTTTTTTCTGGTCATCGCCAGATATTTCTTCGGCGTCAGCTTCCCAGTGTCGCCCCGGGTGATCCTTGCAAGATCGCATCCTTTAACTCCATACCATCTCTTTAGGGATTGACCATGGTTGTAGCGTTTGGCTAGTTCCGCAATTGTCGAAGTCATCAGGCCGTAGGGGTCACTAGGTCCTAAAATTCTCAGTCCAGCCGCTTACTTGGCTAAAGAGTCGGTAATGCGATCACCGTTACTTCTGTCGTGCCCTTCAACCCACCTCAGGATATTGTTATTATCTATCGAGCCTTTGGCTAAATCTATCTATCAGTGCAGATTGTTATGTTTTTGCCAAATATTCCTTTCATGGTTATTTCTTTTGCGACGATTTAGATACCAGCCAGTTCTGTTTGAACCATACTGGTATTTTTTCCCATTCCCCACTTGATCCTTAGGCTTAGTGATCCGGAGTACACTCCACATCCTGAGCCTTCTTTGGCTTTTGAGCCGCCCATAAATATATATATGCGTATTGCATTTGTAGCATCTGACTCTGTGTTCTGTTTTATTTGTATTTTGTAGGGTTTATTAAACACAAACCTGGGTTCAATTACATCACTGGCTACCTGCAGCAGAGGTTGCGCAGTAACCTGCTCAACATACAGGTCCAGAGGGACCAGACCAGTAATTAATTCCATTGCCGCGATTGATGTTGTTCTCATGGCTCCTGTAATATTCAAACAAGCCAATCGCTGTATTTGATATAATTTTTGGATGGCCGTTGCTTGTAGAACTTTTGGTCTCCATGCAATGGCTCCGTACATATGTCTTATTATTGCAGTGTAGATCCAGGTAACCACACGGGGTGAAAGACCCCATGCGCTTCCCACTGTCCTTCGACATTGCTTATAAGCCACATATGTTCTTTTTGCTCTACACTGTAGGTGAGAGTTCCATGTTAGTGACTTTTTCAAGATGCATTGGATGCTCATGGATCTCATGTAGATTGGTATCCTCCTGAATTCGACAATTTTGTTTGTTCACGTACCCATTCATCCAAAAATGAGGCTCATCGCTGAAGATAATTTTTCGATGAAAATTAGTTGCCAACCGCTCCAGATCCCATTCAGCGAACATACGTCGTTGTCTATGGTCATTTACTTTTAGTTCATGGGTCAGTTAGATTTTGTAGAGGTGTAGGCCCAAGTCACAACGCAAAATTCGCCAAGTTGTGGTCTGCGAAAGGTCGAGTTCTTGTTATCGACGCGAAATTGACTACCTCGGATTCTCCTGCATACTCCCACAGACAGCGCCGATGTTAGGACGATTATGGTGAACTATATGCTACATTTTTGTATATATTTTATTTTGGAATTGAGTGCTTTATCCTTTCGTTTGGAAATTTTCTTCATTATTCTTGTAAAAAGATGTAAAAGAAGTAAAAAGCCAAAACCTTTTTATCCCAAAAATTAATCTGTCCTAAAAATATACCCTTTCAATTTATGATACTAGACTTTTGGATGCGTTCGAAAATCTATGTGGGATAAGAACTATTGACAGTGACAAATATTTAATTTCCATCAGTTAATTTTTATTTATATATGAATCACTTAGAGTTAGAGAATTTAAAAATTGATCTGCTCATCCCCGCATTTATGCTAGGTACATACTTGGAAAGTCGTCTAAATGCCAGGACAT